TAAAAAACAGTATTTTAAAAATCAAATTGTAAATAATCACTTTTCATTTACAACCAATTATCAGTTTTAATTATACTTCTATTAAAAACACATTAATGTGTGCAGAAGAAAAAAAGTAATTTTAATACTAAAAGTTCAAGTTTATACTCACTGGATGAACAGCGTAAGGATTTTCTCCCTAGGGATCCTCTTCCTAAGCATGTATTTCCTTGTTCTTTGACATGAAGGTTTTGGATATGTGGAATTTTGCTCTTTGTTTGGCATTTTTCCATGAAAAGAACAGCTTCAAACCAAATGCTCCCTCTGAATACAGCATTCATCCTGAAGTTCGCTGGGTTTATCGCAGTCAGTCGTGCTTTGTAAGAGCTCCAGGCATGCAAGTGACCCCTGAAAGGAAGGGTGTGCACGCTGCACTAGCCTAAGAAGACATAAGCCAGAGAGCTGACACTGCCACTCATTCAACCTGCAGGAAAGAAGGAGTTTATCTCCATCTTGTCTGATGCAGATGGAGGATGGCTTCATGCAGAGAAGTTCAAACAGAGGCTGGAGCAGGAAGGATGGTGACGTGCAACTCCACTGCTGCCTGGGCAAGCAGGTCCTAGCTTCCATTCTTCCACAGGAAGACAGACAGACATCAGGGGCAGCTGGATAGCCCAGAGCCAACACAGGAACACACCCTCCCACAGGAAGAGAAGCCTAGCCAGTTGAGGATTAGCATGTTCCAAAGGGGAGGCTGATGGAACAGTGTTCAGCCAGCAAACGTGCTGGGGAAACACCACTTTCTTTGCAATTCACAAGACTATTCAAACAAATTTAACCCTAGTCCAAACTAATCATGTCATAGATTTCAGCTACATTTCTGACTTGGGTTGTGACAAGAATTGCCAAATAAAACACAGGACACCTAGTTAAACCTGAATTTTAGATAAACAGCAAATAACTGTTTGTACAGGTACAGGTCCCACAAAACCTTTCTGAGTGCCACATCTGACAAGCCTGATTGAAACACAGTACTGTCAAACAGACCTGCTGGGGTTACAGGTGCCTCTAGCTGCCATTTTTCTGTGCACGGTACTTACCTCTCTCGGCAGGATTTGCAACCATCCTCTGACATGCAGCCTACTAGTAAGAGGGCTGGGTTACCATTAGAATGGAGCTGGTTACCTTCCTCTGGGTAGCACTCTGGGATTCCATTGGAGCCCATTATCAGATTGCCACGGTCATCATGCTGTCCCAGGGTCCCAGGGGGACAGGTGGGGGTGGGGGTGGTGGGTTCAGGGGTGGTGGTGGTAGTGGTTTTCCGAGTGGTGGTTCGGATTGTGGTGGCTGGGCGAGTGGTAGTGGTGGTGCGGCGTGTGGTGGTCGTGCGGCGTGTAGTGGTCGTGCGGCGGGTGGCAGCTGTTGTGGGTCTCGGGGTTGTAGTGGTAGCCACAGTGGTCGTGGTCATGGTGGTAGTCTGGGTAGGCCTCATGGTTGTGGTGGGTGGAGGGGTGGTCGTTTTGATGACCTCCAAGCCCACCAGGGGCTTCCCTCCAAGACTCAAGATGGGTTTATCCTGGGCACTGGCCAAGGGTTTGCCATGTCGCCCCTGCCCAAAGAGGGGGAGGCCGTCAGGACTCACGACAGGGGTGCCTCCCAGATCTGAAATGAAATCAACCAGGTGAATCAATCCAGAGTGTATAAAAAGCAGTGGAAAGTGTCTTCTCAAAGATTGTGGGTTATATTTTCATCAGTAAAAGGCAAAGGATAATTAAAGGTGTATCACCTGAGGTAATTACATCTGCTGCTATCCAGAAATCTATGGGTTTATTATATCATCCATTATTCTGTAGTACCTCAATAAATACATAATCTTTTATCAGTATGCCCCATTTTCCTGAGAAAATTCTTAGTGTCTATTAAGGAAAGCAGTTATTCCCTCTTCCTCATTCTTACTCCTAAGGGGAGGAAAATGTTACTTTGCACCAAGGAGGGAGATAGGAGAATTCCTGTCTGAGTCCAGCCTGGGCAAAGTTAGTGTAAGATTCTGTCTGAAAAACAAAGTAAAAAAGCAAAATGACTGGAGTGTGGCTCAAATGGTACACTTGCCTAGCAAGCAGAAAGTCCTGAGTTCAAACCCCATACCACCAAAAAGAGGAAGAAAGAAAAGAAAACATATTACTTACCCACAATGGTGCGACCATCTCCCCCTAGTTTCACCCGAAGAGGGTTTCCATGTGAATCTTGGAGGTACCTCCCTTCTGCATTCAACACTAACCCGCGGTCAAGGTCCACCACCTAAACCCGTGACAGAGGTTGAAGGATATAAGGACATCTCCAAATGTTCATACTGCTTGCACATGGCTTCCTCAGAAGGAAACCATGATGTGAGTGGGAAGCCTTCTTCTCATCAGTATCATTCACAGGGCTTAAAAAATTAAGCAGGGTCATACTTTATGTTATAATTGCTTACCCATATGATACTAACGTTCTAAGTTTTTCAAAAACACAAAAGATGTTCAAAATATTTTTAATTATTGAGTACATTGTATCTACTGTGGGAATGTGGGAAACCACCTAAGGGTCCCTCAATTGAGAGGAGATCCTAATTACGGCCTGTAGACAGCCAAGGTCTACTTCCCTTGGCCTATCCTGATGAGTGCTCAGATTACAGGGCTGATTATTATAGTTTTTGTTTTGCAAAAACAAAATTATATTCATTTTTGTGTGTAAGTTTAAAACCACAGAGACAACACATTCTGGAAGGATGTACTGTTAACAGTGGTTACCTTGGAGAAGTGGTTTGGGATGGGAATACTTAATTTCTTTTTCATGTATTTCTGAATTATTTTAACCTCTTGCAATAAACATGCATTGCTAGTGTTTTAAAATATTAAATGTTTCCATTGTGTTTAATTAAAATTTAAAAAATTTTAATTTTTAAAATTAAAAATGATTTATAATATTGCCAAATAGGGAAGCCATGCAAAATGTCATAGTCAAAGACACTGCAAAACTTGAGAAAGTTATTATATCCCTGTTAAGGACAAGTTATTATTGTATCCCTATTAAAGAACAAGCCCATGTTCTGCTCTAGTGGCCAAGAGTGGACCTGAACGGGAAGCCACCTCATCACCTGGCAACGTGTCAGATAAACAAAGCCCTGGTCCTCCCCTAGGTCTGTATTTGGCAAGCCCCCAGGGATTCTAAGATGACCAACATTTGTGATCCACTCAGCTGCACAATCATGCCAAGAAGTCCACTTGGTTCAGTACTGTTTTAGTAATAAAAATAAGGCTTATTTATATAAATCCTACTTTCAAAAGCCTGAGCTGCATAGCAATGACTCACACCTGTAATCCTAGCTACTTGGGAGGCTGAGATCAGGAGGATTGTGGTTCCAGGTCAGCCTGGGGAAAGAGTTCACAAGACCCCATCTCCAAAATAACCAGAGCAAAATGGACTGGAGGTGTGGTTTAAGTGATAGAGTGCTTGCTTTGCAAGTGTGAAGCCCACTTGACTTATTAGTACACAGTGTCCAAGATATTTCTCTTCCAACAGCATGAGAAAACAGGAATGTGAAAGAAGTTTACCCTACCCACTTGATTCCTTGAGGGCCATTGATAATCCTTTGTCCACTGGGTTTCCCATCACTACCAGGAGAGACATTCCCTTCCACATTTGGTCTGCCATTATAACCTATGTGGTGCAAAAATAATTTTGAAAAAAATAACAGAACCTGGTAAATTCAACATTCCTGAACCACTGGCTTCATGCCAAACTATAACACATCATTTCAAACAAAGACAAACCAGAATTTTAGATCTATAATTTCTGTATGTTGTATAACGATAGCCTTACATCGCAATGTCTCCATGACAAACAAGAGTACAGTTAAGTCAGTTTTCTGACAAACCTAGGGGAGTGCCATGTAAGTAAATTTGCCATATAAAGCTTAAGGCCTTAGTAGTTATAGCTTTATTTCAGCCAATTGGAGGGAAATGGGTAGCTGGAAGGATGGAGACAGTTATCTGTAAAGTGTACTGAGTGCTGTCCTGCCAAACAGGACAACTATTTCTGGCTCTCTGGTCCCAGTCTTCTATTGCCAAGTACAAATGCACAGTGCCGTCTCAGAAGTTACTGAACTCCACAGGACTGCTTAGTAAGTGTTTTCTAAGAGTGAAGAAGCTGCACTCCTTGATTCTGCTGCTCTCCTCCCACCCCCAACTGTGTCTCCTCAGGGAGAATCAGCCTGAAGGCCTGACATCTCAGCTGGGATGTCAGCTGGGAGCCTCTGGGGTCCAACCTCACCAGCAGGAGAAAGTGTTTGGGCTTTCTGACAACTATTTATTGGTCAGAGACTTATTTTACTCATTCTTTCATTTTTCCATTAAGCATGTATTGAGTTCCTACTCTGTACAAGGAATGCTGAGTTTTACATCTGTTGTCAGGGTCTTAGTTTTGTTTTAAATAGTCTTAATGAAAAACTGTCCTCAGTGTCTTTGCACTGGGCTTAAATGACAGTGCCATCATGAAGACTAACAAATACTAACACATTCATTTGCGAATATTCTATGAAGCCCCAATCACATGCAAGGGAAGTTCAAGGCTTAACAGGACACAAATTTATGATAAATATTGTAAACCCTGCCCTGGGTGGAGGGAGGATTCATGTAGGCCCTAGATCATAACTTGTCTATGCTTCAGCCTCTGTCACAGAAATACAAGGACACATCTGCCTGAGTCCTCTTTAAAGACAATTGTCTTTAGCATGCATTTCCTGCAGGTTTTACACAACATTCATTGACTGCCATGTCTGACGATTCCTATTTAAGGCATGTGAATTTGACCCAGGGTATGTTTGGTTAAGAGGTTCATTCACAGAAGATAAGAGCAGGAACAAGATAAGGCTGCATGCATGTCTAATGTCGACTCCTTTAATATACACTGGCAAGTGAACAACTGAAAGGAACATCGTGGCTGCCACACATTTCCACAGGCTAAGAGCATGGTGTTAAGGCATTCAGATGACGGAATAGTGGGGTCAGGGTTTGGGACTGGACTTGCAGCCCAGACACTTCATGGCAGTCCTCCTGATGATGCCTGATCCCGGGCTTCCTCATCGGAAAAACAGTGTAAGGATGCAAACCCTTGGAGATGCTGAAGAGGCTCTAAGCACTAAGTGCTTATGTCTAAGTGCTTGGACAAAGTAGATGTTGAATAAAACAAAATAAAGTAAAAACCTCCCAGGCACTGCTGCAAACACCACTGATCACTTTAAAAAACAAATATTAAGCAGCTGTTTTTGAAAATGAATTACCTTGTATGTGAGGGAGTCTGGCGGGCTGGCGGGAGACAGGCGTCCGGAACCTGCGTTGCATGCGCTGGCGCAAGGACAGCATAGGCGTGGTGGAGGAGAAGCTGGGAGGGGCGCGGGTGGTCGGCCAGAACCCGGTGCTCACGATGGCGCTTGCGGTGGCAGGACTGCGAGGGGGGTGTCGGGTAGGGAGATGTGAGGCTCTTGGGGGGCTGCCTGGAGATGGGGGAGGAGGTCGCTTTCCAGGAGTGATGCTCTCTTCGCGCTCGGAGTTCCTTCCCCTGGGAGCCAGGACAATGGCAGTCTTGTCCTTGGCAAGGCCCCCATCACCATATTTGCTGTCCCTGGGGGTGGAGGAAGAAGGCCACTTTGGAACAGAGGAAGACAGAGGGTCCTCCTTTCCTCCTTTTAAAAATCCCTCGTCCTCGTCCTCGTCCTCGGCGGAGACTGACTGCTGAGATTTGGACGGCAGTGGACGCTTAAAAGGCGAGGCCTTCTTCCCTGGTGTGGCCTGGGCTCCGGCTCTGCCAGGGACCCGGGCCCGAGGGTGGGGACTGCCAGGTTGGCTGGGTCTTGGGGAGGAGCCTTCATAGCCACGCTGGAGACTGTCATCACCATTCCCTGCGCGGGATGCCACCTGACGGTGCTTGAAAAGGGACGGGATGGCATCCTTGTCACGGGTGGCATCCGCGGGCCCCTGACCACCAGGGGCCTCAACTTCTGTGCTGTTGTCATCATAACTGCTCTGGGAATCCTTGTCTTGGCTCCCGGGGGCAGTGCGGATCACTCCACGCGAGCTCGCCCTGTACGGGTCTGAAAAGGAGTGGGCGCGGCCCTGCGACGTGGGGCTGGGACGTCCAGCGTGAGCCAGCGACAGCTTAGGCTGGGAAAGTGACCTGTCCGCGTCCTTGCTCTGGGAGACCTCGTGCTGGGATGTGGGGACAGGTGGAGGGGACAGCTTTTCTGGGGCCCGGCCAGGGACCATCCTTCTGGGAATATTAGACCCAGGGTAGGGCTGTGACTTTGCTGGTGGAGGACGAGCAGGAGATAGCTGGTGGCCAGTGGACACTGGCTGCGTTTGGGGAGAATGACCTTCCACATCAACAACCACCTCCGTGCTCTGTTGAATGTCCTGAACCTTGGGGGACAGAGAAGAGAATTTGCCCTGAGGATGAGTGTCTGCCGCAGGAGATTTGGGGTTCTCTGGGATGGACTCCTTCCTGTACAGGTTCGCTCCTCTCTGGGGACCTCTCCTTAGGGGATCCCAGCCCCGAGAGGTGGGCTGCCTGGAGGTGGAAGGCATGTGGTCATGGATCACGGTGGCAGGCAGGGGCTGCTCCTCCTCCCCTTCTCCATGGATACCTGAGGCCAGCTTCTGGTCGGAAGCTGACTGGGAATGGACCCTGATGGGCTGCAGGGAGCTGGAGGGCTGCAGCCTTAGACTCCGGCCACCACCGAATCTGGCCGGAGTCCTGCCATTGGCAGCTAAGAGCTTATTCCGGAGCAAAATGAAGTGTCCAGAGGCAGGCCCGGCCCTCAGGGTCAGGTCCATGGTCTCAGCCTGTCTCCCGCTGTCTTCTGCATCCCCGTCACTATCGCCCTCGCCATCAGAAGCGTCCCTGCCCTCAGGAACCTCTGCCCTGGAAGACATAGTAGATGGAGAGGGCGCATGAGAGTTGGCGGTGGGGGCATTGTGACTGTCCTTCCAGCCCCTGGAAAGTGGGGGACCTGCGTGTGGTTGGGTGGGTGGTAGCCGAGAGGACCCTCGATGTGGTGGAAGAAGTCTCGAGGGTGTGGCTGGAGGGCTAGAATCTTCCTCTGCCACCCCAGAAGCTGATGTCCTCTGCGCAGGTGGTTTTGCACCATGATGCGTAGGGCTTCTGTCCCGCAGGATGCTGGAGGCCGCCTGGCGGCTGGGGGACAGGGCAGGGCGGGACTGGGCCGGGTTCTTGGGAGGCAGCTGTTGGGAGGAGGTAGCTTTGGAGTGGAGGAAGCCTGCAGTTTGCTCATCTTTGTCCTGCTCCAGCGAGTCATTGTCAGTAGAGCTGGCAGAAGGTCCCTTTGCAGGGCGAGGAGAGGGGTCCTGGGTGGCCTGGTGGCGGCCAGAAGAGGCCTCCAGGGAAGGGGCAGCCTCTGGCTGAGGGTGAACAACTACTGAGGGGCCACGCTTATCTATGCTTTCCTTTCGGGGCAGCACTGGTAGTCGGGCCCTTACTGGAGCTCTGCCAAGAGTGGGAGACCAGTGGCTAGATCTACTTGGTGGCCTCAGGGTTCGCCTCTGGTCTTGGGTCTCCACAGGGGACATGTCTGGGTTCTCAAGGGAATCCAGCTCCTCATCAGTGACCTCTGTGGACTGAAGATTCAACCCCTCCGTCTTCTTAGGGCGAAGCTGGAGTTTCCCACCATTGGCCAGTATTTTGTTCTTCAAATCAAGGACAGTGTCCTTGACGTCTTTGCCTGAGGGAGAAGCAGGCAAAGGCGTACGTTCTGTGGAAGGCTCGGGCTTCTCCGCTTTCCTGTTCTCCCGAATATTCTGCTGGACACTGGCCTCACTGGCACTGCCTGTAACAGATTTCAGAGAACTACATCCAAGGAAAAAACAACTTAAAAGCTGTGTGACAAAGAGTGAGTAATTAAGATAGCAGTATGGAGGTGTTCCAGATTAGAAGTGATCAATCATAGTTGATCACTTCTAATTCCTATAAAACACTAGAAGTTATTTTCCCATTTATAGCCTTCTTTTTCAAAAGCTTTGCTTTTCTAGGATATAATCCTAGAAAATATATGTGAATTGACTATACATCGGTCTCTATACATTAAATCAGGCTAGGTCACAAATTATTTGAAGGAATTCTGAAATGAGTACTATGAAAGGCAATCAGCCCTTCAAATTGGCTGCAGATTCAGCCAACTCTGGCTAGAAAATGTTTGGAAAAGGGACGATTGTGTCTACTCTGAACATGAACTTAAATAATACAGCTTCACAGAAATTTTTGTAGATTTCCATTATATGAGGCATTGTAAATAAGCTAGGGATGACTTCCAGAAGGATGTGTGTGGGTTATAGTCAAACACTACTATTTTATGTAAGTAGTACATATGAGCAGCTTCAGATTTTGGGACCGATTTCCCAAAAATATTGAAGGATGGCTGAATTTATTGGTTTTGTAAATGCAAAATCTTTTCTTAAAACAATTAATTGTCAGTATATTACAGATAGATTGCAGCTATTCTTAATAGACAACAAATATATATAAGCCAGATGCAAAATTTTGAGTGATCAGTACTCAGAATTAAATGAGAATTGCATGTGAGTAACTTGCAAGTGGCTAAGTGAACAACAAATGTGTCATTATTGGGTCATTACAGAGTCTCCTAGTCACCCTAACATGTTTTCACTTGCTTCTTCCTTCTTGCTTAAAATTTCTTTCATAATGGATACATTTGCAATTCTAAAATAAGGCTTATAGTAAAAGGACTCTTTTGTGTAAAAGAGTATATTAAATGTGCCCTGTCTTGACAACAGGGTTGACTGGGAGAGGGGCGGCTGTTAGGGGAAAGGGCTTTATATAGCAATGGAGGATCTAGAGGAAAGAAGCTTCAGCTCTCTCGCAGGTTCTTCCAAGACAAAACTGCTCAAAGTCCCAGAATTCAGTGGGTTTGCACAGCACGTCATGAAGGAGAGAGCTGGAACTACCCGTCCCACATAAAGGTGGAGAAGCAAAAAACACAGTCCAAACCCAGTCAGCTCCATTGTTGGTTTTGGTACTGATCATATAAACTAGATAAGTGAAATTTGTCTGAGTAAAGCTGCACTCCCAAATAATGGAATGCAAACTGCAATTTTTAAATGCTCTATGTACAAGAAGGCTCACAATTTAAGCTGTTACATTCCATTAATAAAAATTTCTTTCCCCATCAACACAAGCCCCAAATTAAACAGTGATGATACATAATTAATTATATAATTAACATGTTAATAATACTGTAATAATTATTAATATTATCAGCAAGTGATAACATTTTAGTCTTGGGGTGACTAATTTGTAAAAGAACCACAAAAATATTTTAAAAATTGATATGTAAACTTAGCCCTCCCAAACCATCAACCAAGCAGTTTTAAACCTAAGAGCATGGTTCAAAGTGGCATAACACAAACGGCAGAATGAAGAGAGGTAGAGGAGAGAGCCAAAAACACATGAGGCTTACTTGGTATAGTGACAATGAAGGCTTTGGAGTGCGGCCCTGGGCCTCTCCTGTTTGCCGCCCGGATTTTGAACACATAGCGTTCCCCAGGCTGCAGACCATCCACCAGGGCAGAAGCAGTGTGTCCAGAGTAGGTGAGGGACTTTGCTCCAAATGGTTTGAGAGCCGGGGCGTATGAAAGAATGTATTCTGAAATGATTTGGCAGACGGTTGGAAGGAGGAAACTGAAAACAGTCCTGTGTCCAGCAGACAGACTGTATGGGCAGGATGAATTAGAACGTGCATTACTAAAATTAACACACCAGCAATGCACGCCAAGTCAGCAGCTGGAGCAGAAGGATGCGGCAGAAAGTGACCTCACACTCATTTGGGCTCTGAAGTTCATGAGTTGGCAATTTCTAGTCCAAGCAAATTAAGCATATGAAACCCAGCAGGCCAGTCTTTACACAATTTACCAAAAATACTTACACTTTTTATATTTATTTACTAACTTAGTATGATGGAATTGGTATATCTTCAATAGAAGAAACCAAAAACAAAACCAAATGACAGCCTCGGAACCAACTCACATCTTCAAGTGTTTCGGTTTATCAAGCTGAGTTACTTGCATTAGTACATTGAGCCAGAAAAATTCTGTATTTCGAACATAACTTCACTTTTGTAGGAATTATAAAAGTTCTTACTCCATGTAGCTGATAAGGCTATCACACATTATCTAAAATTGAAGAAAAGTTGCTAACAATAGACTTACTGTGATGTCTAAAGCGTCTATCTTTAATTGGCTCTATCTATCTGAAAGCCAGAGACTATTCAATCCAAGGAACTAAAGGTTCTCTTTGGTTGCATGGAAATACTGTAACATATGAAGTCATGTTTTAAAGCATAACTTTAATCTTCAACAAAAAACTGTTCTGCCTATTTTGCTCTCCATGAACCCAAGATTTATAAAATGTATCAAATCAGTATGAGCACATCCTATCTAAGAAAAATAATTCAAGTCACAGAATAATCAAGTAATCACCAGGAGCATACATCTTTTCTTTCTTCTAAGTTCTAATCTTTGAAAAGTATATTACTTTAAAAAATTTTCAACCAAAATGCTCTTGCAGTGTTTGTCCAGAAAAGCACAGCATTCTTTTCTCATTGAAAATGAGCAAACTAGTCATTTGTGATGGTCAAATGTAAGAACTAAGAAAGCTCGCTCTATAAACGCTTGTAACTCTGATTTTTAATAGATTCAATTCACCTGGAAAAAAACATTTAACCCTGTCAAAATGCCCCACCATTACACCCATATGAAAACTAAGCAGGGTTAAGATACACAAGTTCTTTCACATATGAAAACTCAGCTTGGTGGGTGCAGTGCTCATGCCTGTAATCTTAGCTACCTAGGAGGCACAGTTAGTTAGGAGGATCAAAGTCCAGGACTGAGCCTGGGGGAGAAAAATTGACCCTATCTGAAAAATAATAGTAAAAGCAAAAAGGGTTGGAGGGACATGGCTCAAGTGGTAGAGAGCCTGCCTTGCAAGCCTGAGGCCCTGAGATCAAACCCCAATACTGCCAAAAGGAGGGCAGGAGAGAAAGAAAGAAAAAGCTATCACTATCTCTGGCAATATTTACATGGTGATGAGAAGCTTCTAGTGAAGAGCTATAAATATCAAATAAGATGAGGGAAAGGAAAAGAACAAATCAGTAGTATGGTAATAGATTCACTAGAGCAATGATTATCTTTTTTAAAACTAAAAATGTAGTCACCAAAAAAAATGTCTTTATTCCATTTCAGAAGCCTTTTCAGCATCACAATATTTAATGCACAGGGAGACAATATTAAAATTGCTATAAAAACAATTATTTAAAGGGACCAATTCAATCTTTATTCTCTTCATTTGTTTCTGATTCATTCTAGTCAGGGTGGGGAGGGGACGGAGGAGGAAGAATAGCACAATCTGTTCTTAAAAACCTGGAAGGTGTAAAAGCATTCAGCACAGAACATATCTCTCCCTCACATCTACCTTCCCCGAAAAGAGCTTCTACAAGTCAGCAAAGATAACTGATGGTTGGATGCAAAAATCCAACTATTCAATATTTGCAATTAAGAAATTCTTAGGCTGGGGGCATGGCACAAGTGCTAGAGTGCCTGCCTGGCAAGCACGAGACCCTGAGTTCAAACTCCAGTATAAACAAAAAAAAAAATTCTCAAAGGAGACTGGTGGTGATTTCCTGGATTTCTTTAAAACTTTTCATAGTTTTTGGACATATTAAAGTTGTCTCCCCAAACCTAATAACAATAAAAAATTCATTTCTTGAATAAACATCCCATTTTTTCCTACCCTTAGGGTACATTTGAATAGGAATGCTACGAAAGGCCCCATTTGACTCCTTAAAATGTCTCCAGCTTTTAGAAAGCCTCTTGAACACTTTTACATTGAAATGAAAAGATTTGTATGTTGACAGCGTTCTCAGAAGACGACTTTTCATTTTAACTAGTGATGAATATTTGTATTCCTTTAAAACTTCAGTATTTTTTTCTATTTTAATATTATGCTTTCCTCAACCTAAGTAAATAAATATGGCTGAAAAACGGAATAAATCCTTTTTCTGGAAATTATCACTTGCCTTTTTTCAAACCCATAAAACACATTTATGGTACCCTTAAAGATATTTATGGTCCTACAGGTTCCTGCTCACTCCTACTTTTGTGATCTTGCTGGCAAGTAGAAAGCTAATAGCATGAATACAGGATGGAGTTAGGATGGGTAACGGTTGCAATGTCACACCATGCAATTAAAGCATCCCTGCGGATAGCACACCAAAGACCCTGTTTAGGAAGAGAAAAGAATAATCACCATGGTGACTACCTGGATCTCGGACAATGAAAACTCTTGGCACTGGGTAAGCACCTCTTCTACTTGTGTTGCTTCCCTATTACTTCCTCACTTTCCAAAACTGTGAGCAGAGGCAGTGCTTGTCAGAATCAATACTACTTAGAATTTAAGCAGGAGATTCCTACCTTTCACTTTCCCCTCCGTCTCTGGCAGTGGGTCCCAGGACACAGTAACAACTGTAGGTTTGCCACTGACTGGCCAGACATTCAAGTTTTCAGGAGCTGTGGTGGGAGCTACAAGATGACAGGAATGGAACATTTTACCACACCTTTGTGGAGGTCCAAATGGAAATGGCATACTGGCTCTCTGCAGGATGTTTAATTGAAAATCCTGTGTTCACGTGGATGTCACATGGGAGAAAATCCCACACTTGCTCTTTGTCACTTCTGCCAACTTATATGTTATATGATGAGTGATTTAGGGAAAGACTTAGGAATTAAGAATTTCACTCATGGCTAAATATTGAAATATACAGAGTAAAATCAAGTTGCAACTTCTTTTCAGTACAATTTTCAAGATCTATTTTAAAAGAAAAGAATCATAACCTTGCTTATAGTGGGAAATTCTCCCTCAGATCCAAACACAAGCTCAACTTCAGGAAAGAAGATGGTTTGCATTGAGCCGTGTGTTACCCAAGGGTATCCCTGCATATGACAGGGACCTGTGAATGCTATACACTGGGACTTAATGGGCTTGACATGTCAGGACCATTTGGTAGTGGAAGAGGTTGAGGACAAAACACGGATGCAAAGAAACGGTTCTTTGGCTTCTTTGTATTCACATCTCTCTTTTAAATTTAATTACACAAATCTAACCCTAGTCCTAACTTTTTTGGTTTATACATAGAAACACTACCAAGATCTAGGTTTACTGTAACTTTTAAAAACATCCATGCTAGCTTTTGACACTACTGGCTTCTTCAATTGTCTTTAAATCTTATTTTAGGGGCAATTCCCAACTTGAAGTTCTAAAAGCCATTTCAGATACAGACCAGATTCTGGTGTTCTTTGGAAGACTGATGTGCTCCACTTGCCATCTCTTTCACCTTGTGAAATACGGACTGCAAATTCATACACAGTGTCTGGAATCAGGTTTTCAACCAGCACACGCCTGTTAGCGATTTGTTTGTAATCCCATCTGGCTGATTCCCCTTTTTCTCGGTAGCGCACGGTGTACTGTCTGTAAGAAAACACAGTAATGCATCCTGATGATCAGATCGTCTGCAACTGAACTCCAGAGTCCTTGCTGTGTGTCCTTCCTTGTAAGTAATGACTTTTGGAGGTAAGCAGGGTGGTGGAAGAAGAGAAAAGCCCAATCTCTTATCTATGTTACTGACTCCGAGAGTATGTTTAAGCTCCAGGCAAAGGTGTCTAAACATAGATCAGGAAGCATCATGCCTTTCCATACCAAAAATAGTCTTACTGTTCAATAGACCAAACAGAGATTACAGAAGGAAGGAATAAAAGGGGGACAGATTTTATGAAGCAATTATCTTCTCAGTGTGTGTGTGTGTGTGTGTGTGTGTGTGTGTGTGTACGAGATGTGGGAAGGCACAATTGTAAGGACTAGAACTGGCCCAATGTATCCTGGCTCTCCAAAAAAGAAAAACAAAACAAGATTCATTTCATGCCAAATCCGGCATGGTTTCTATATGTCCAGGAGGAAAAGAACATGTGGTTTTGAGTAGTCTTATTACTGTGAAATGGAGCGAAATGTGTAACAAACAGAATAGGACTGAGGAGACTATAAAAGGCATCCAGTGTGCCATTTTCAAGGAGAGAAACTCATGTGACTAAATGTGATAATCCTCAAAACCCCAGACAACCAAACCCCTCAACGCTCTAAGGGTGGCAAGCGCTGTTTACTGGATCCTTTTAAAAGAAATTTGCTCTGTGGCCTCTTTGCAGTAGAAGCATTCATGCATTTGAAATGTGCTATTTGTTATATTTAATAAGTCAGAGGAAGACTTCAGTTGAAGACATGGGACACCAATTAACAATGCAGTTCTGCTAAGAAAATTCAAGCCTTTCTTGGTTTTCATCAAGATGGAAATCAAAGCCCAATGGTAACCAGGAATGCTTTGGGTTGGGAGACGCCATATGGCTAGAGAACCAATATGACTTCTGAGGTCTCTCAAAAGAAGCAGGTATCTTTTTACCAGAACACAGGCAAGGAAATTGTGTACCTAATATGAAGGATGGTTTATGTAAATAGGCATTTTATTCAATTGATTTCACACTCCCATTTCCTGGTTGCAGATAGGTTCAAAACAGCACATTAAAAGTTGGCCACCAAATTTTTGGCTTTCTCTTGGTTATATAAGCCATTGATTAAGTCACTAAACACATGAAGTTTTGATGGCCATTTTCACCAGTGGCCTTTTAACATAAGAATTATTTTAACCTTATGACTGTTTTTTTCAATTGCTATTGCAAATTAATCTAAAAGAAGAATGGTGTAACATCACTGCCTAGGAGAAAATAAGATGCTTTTTTAAAAATTCACAACTGAGCTGGACATGAAGCAGTTTGGTGTTTGACAAATGTGCAATGAGGACCCATTTTATGTAGTGTGAGGCACTCTACATAAAAGTCACTCTACTGTGACTCCTCAGTAAGACTCTTCGGTAAGAACAGAACATCAATGAGATGAAGTGAAACACAAGTCTGGGCAAAGGAGAAATAGAATCTAGGAAATTTCCAGATAGAACTGAGCAAGTACAATGGGAAGTCCAGCTCTGTGTATCACACAAGAGGCCCTGGTAGCATCGGTTTGTGGAAACAAGGTGGCCATAGAACACCCTACTGTTCAGCTACAAAATGGGCCAGCATTCCATATAAGTAAGGAAATAAAATCAATGAATACATAACTTTTAGGGCCAAAAAAGCCCCGTTTCTCATACATAAAGATGAAGAAATAAGCAAAAGTACCTTGATGCAACAACTTTCTTCTGTTTTTCCAAAACTGGATCTACCCAAGCTACAAGCACAGATTGGGACGACATCACCCGGACACTGATGTCTTTTGGTACATCCAGTTCATCCTCTTCTGAAATGACAGAGAAAGGTGCCTTCAACCACAGGCTCTGCCCTGACTCCCTCTGGCCTCAAGTCTATGATTCACCCTGTATAACTTTCAGATCACCTTTGCTTAATGTAGGTAAAATAAAATGGACAGGAAGCTAAGCAATTATTTAATTAGTGTATAAAACAAAAGTCTCCACTCTTGCTCTTACACCCATCTTAAGAAACAGGCAGTTACTTTAAGAGCTGCCTGACGCAGTCAACAGGTAGAACAGTACAAAGGGCTGCTATACCTTGAGAGGAAAAAATTCCAAGTAACTCAGAGTTTGCTCACATGCACTGCAAGTTACTAGGAAATAGTAAAACTTTCCTGGATAGCAAAACTTGGGGGGATAGGAAATCTCAATTTGCATTTCCCTGGTGATCTTGACATGAAAATTCTGCTTCAAATAACTAAGAATCACATGGGGCTCAATGTCCTCACGTTTCAGATTATATGGTTGTTGCCAGGCAGGTTGAAATTTATATTCAGATATAAAATAAGATTCAGTCTGGCAACTTCTTACAGACATGCATCTTTGTCATCAAGAGAAAATGTCGTCGTCACGAAGCTTATAGTCTCAGTTCAATCTCTAACAAATTAAGACTCACAAGATGTCTTCAGTCTTGCTTTTTAGGTCCCTTGGGTTTTTGTTTTGCTTTTTATTTGTTTTCTTCTCATTTTACAGGACCACGTTTCAAAAAGGTATGGGTTTTACTAAGTAGGAAAGGTGGAGCTATTTAGTCTGTTAGGGCTTTTCTCATGGCTTCAACCAATGGATTATAAAAGTAAAGCATCCTGGATGTGGAACTTTTTTATGCAATGTGAAGAAGCGTAGTAATTTCACTCTACATAAATGATTATTACATTGTAGGTTGCCTCTTTAAATTAAGGCATGTGGCCCATAAAATGTGTATGTAAATTGTTAACACATGAGCAATGTAAAAAAAATGCACACAGGAACACAGGAGAAAGTATTCTGTAATAAAGTGGACACTGATCCAACTTTTAGTAAACCATAATTCCATTTTCTTACTTCTCATGCAAAGTTAGCTGAGCATCTGTGCGTGCAACTGGTGGGCTGCCCCTCCTCACCTATTCTTCTTTCTCCCGCTTTGTTCAGTGTTTTACCAGGGACAATTTATGCACGGGTCAGACTGGAAATAATACCTCCCTCCTCCTATGGTGGCAAAGCTTCTACACAGTGAAATGGTCTACATCCCGGGAATGCTACAGCTTCTGTGTGGGAAAGAAAGAAGCTTGTGCACCAAATGTGGCCAGCTCTGCCCTCTGAGCTCCTAGTCTTCTGTGAAATTGGTGTAACTTATCACAGTCAGCAGACTATGGTTTCACCAAATGCATCCTTGGAAACACACCTGGAATCTTGCGTTTTGTGAGAGCAGCCCTGTAGACCGGCCGACTCTGCCCCTGGGAGTTGATGGACTGCAGAGAGATCACATACACCGACTCCGAGGCTGTGGACCGAGAGCAGGCATGAGTCTGTGGCCTGGTTTCTCAGAGGCATCCCAGTGGCCTGCATCCCCTCCCCATTTCTGTTTTCCATTCCATTTTTCCTTGGGCATTCCCACTTAGCCAGACAACTAACGATCAGCCCAAGCACTGTATGAACCAAATTAACTTTACCTATAATTCCTGAAAAAATAGGCCTCTCTTTCTCAGCACCAGAGAGATAAGCAATGTTTTAAAAAGAATAGTGTATTTACCCACACAAACCCACAATTTCTTTTTTCAAAAAACAGAAAGCAGAAAAACCAAGGAGAGCCAGCGTGCCAGGTTAGCAGCCCAGAACCTTGTCGAGTCTTAGGGGACACCGTGTCCTTCAAGGCAAAAGTCCTCAGAATGGAGTCTCTGAAGCTTTACTAAGAGCAAATGGGAGATTTCAAGGTATCCTTTATTTCTGGATTCATCTTTCTGTTCATTACTGCTCCCTCCTCCAGATGTACATTGGTCCCATTAGTCTCCATCTTAACTTAACCCTGAAAATCATACTTGGAAAAAAATTTCAGAATGGAATAAAACATATACTTAAACACAATGGAATCATAAGCCCCAGACTCAGGTGAAAGCTTGGTTATCTTCCAACATTCCCTTTTTATTTTAGCAATAAGAACACAAACTATAAAATCCGAGTGCTTACCCCCATCACAACCCAATCAAAGGCTCCTCATTTTCTTTAAATCCAAAATTGCTAATGCTCAACTCCAGGCTGTCTTTACTGAGCTTCCTGCTGCAGCTTTGATCAGTTCAAGGATAAAAATGAGGCAACCTGACCTACTTCTAGATAGTCACATCACATAATAGCTCAGTAGATTAGCAAGGTGACAATAAATCCCAAAGGAATCTGGAAGACAAAGGTGGCACGTTCTCAGCTGGTAATGAGGCAAGAGACTTTTGTCATTACAAAGGGTTGAGTTAACATAAATGAAGACCTGTGTCTCCAACACCTCACACAGAAGGACCTATTCATGTAATGTGCATGGCTAGCAATTAACCAGAGAATTCCAGGGAAGGGGGTGTTTTTGACAACCTGCTCTAACTATAGAAGTTCGTGCCGTGACATGAATAAGTGTTTGTACAAAGACACGTCTATTCTCCTAGAGAATTTTGAAGTGTATGTTTTGCAGAGGAAGGGATCACATCTGTAACCCTCAAGTTCACAGCACATCAATCTTAGCTTCTATATGGATCAGCCACTTCAGATCTGCTGATTCCTTGCTGCTGTTGACAATGGAAGCATGCCAGAGTGAACAGAGAAAAAAATCTGCTGTTCAACCAGGAGCATGTATGAGTAACTACACGTGAAAAGCAGGGTCTCATCATTTATCAACGATCACCAAGAAATGAGTAATTTCTCACATCGGAAGTTTTTTGTACGGTTTTCAGTGTGTTTGTTGAAGTCTTTAGTGTTTTTTTTTTTTCTAGATGCTTGATTTGCTGAACTCTTGAAACTAAACGTAGCCCAATGTTGTCATCAGAGAAGAGCTCTGCACTTTACACATTGTGGGAAATCTCCTCTACCCCAGCCAGTGTTAAGCACCTCACACTCAAGTCTTCATTTAGTCCTAAGTAAGCCTCATGAGGAAGCCCCTGTCACTCTGTTTCACAGGTGAGGACAGGCTCAGAGGGCTGAGATGACTGCTTGAGTCATAGAGTAACTGCATCTCACAGCCAGGACCGTGTGGCTCCAAAGCTCAAGTTCTTGATACCTGCAGGTGCAGCAGAAACGGGTCCTGGGCAGCTACCTGCCCCTTTCTCATAGAGATACATTGAAGGCATGCAACACTGCAAAAACACACTTCTGTCTGTTCCCACGAGTTCTGAATAAATAGACACCAGCATCACCACCCAGTGACCCCAGACCTCCCCTCATCACAGCCAACGCACAGGCTCACTTTCCAAACTTATGTGTGTGACATGGCAGTACACCGTGTCAGTTTCCAAAGGTGTGTCGTGCCTTCCTAAGGGACTCCGAACTTCCTTGTTATTTATTACTATCCCACTCTCACCTGAGCCCAATATTGTCATCTCCTGTCCCCTCAGTATTCCTGAGGCCCACCCGCCTGCAGGCCTTGCTCAGTCCCCTTCTCTGGGGTTGGGATGGGGCCCTCTTGGACCATCAATTAAATACTGCTGCTGTCCTGGGATTGCACCTGACCCAGAAGACCCCAATAAGATGTGTTTAGTGATTGGCTTAGATGGTGGGGATCCTGCTGACAGAACCTCGGGCCCATTCTCTTCCAAGGTTCCTCAACGTGTGACCACTCACAGTGCCACATGGTCAGTGGCATCTCTGTTGAAAATAGAGAAAATGTCCTATGCAGGATAAAATACAGAGGTAGGTTTCTCAGGGCACAGCATGCCCCCTCTGACATCCCGGGGAATTCACTTCATCCCCACCCTGCCTCACTCCATGACTTACTCCTCCCCTCTACTCCCCCTTCTTCTCCTCTTTCTCTTCTTCTTCCTCATGGGCTCTCTTAATCACTCATGATGGCAACTTTAATACTTTCTATATGGTGAAAAGTCAAATGATAACACCTTGTACCAGAAGCCCAAGAGGCCTGACTTGTCCAGACCCAGGCATAGGTCCGACAGTTGCTCCAGTTCAGACAACAGAACAAGACCTCCTGCAGTGTTCAGGCGAGCCGTGGTGCACTACTGAAGAACTCACAGGCCTTGTGCTGGCTAGGAAGACCACCTGAGCCATGGCCTCATCTTTGGCTCTTAGTTTATTTTTGGGGTAGGGTCTCATGTTTTTGCCTGGGCCAGCCTGGGGCTGCAATCCCTCTACCTCTGCCTTCTGAATAGCTGGGGCCACAGGCGTGCACCCCACCACACTTGGCTTGTTCTTAAGATAGAGTCTTGCTAACTTTTGCCTAGGCTGGCTTCAAACTGCAAGCTTTCAATGTCCACCTCCTGCATCTCTACCAGACCAAAGCCATGCTGGTCAGCTCCTGTAGTATAGCCCAGGGATCCGGCCTTAGGAATCCTGAGGACCAGAGAGCTGCTTCTCCAGCCAAGGGGACAAAGTGCTCAGGGAAAAGGAGGAGGGCAGGCCACAGGACTTCTTCCCTTCAACCAGAACTCCATGTCCAGCACAGCCACCGCCCAGCTCAGGCTGTTTCCTAGACTGAGCAGTGCAGCTGTCACTCTGGCAGTTCTTTGGTGTTTTCTCTCCCTTTCTTCAACCACTCCCTGGCTCATCTCTCCAGTCTCACTTCTCACAGTCTTCACACTCCTCACTTTCTCAGAGAGAAGATCTTACCTTTTATGTCTAAGGAGACATCAAACAACAGGAACCATGCTGCCTTCTCTGTGTTACCTGCTTCCATCCCTCCGGCTTGTATCGTCTGCCTTCTCTGCTCCTTGGGTCTTTCTTCCCACGTCCAACTTCCTCCCCCTGAGTTATGGTGAGCCTCCACTGCCAGCCCCCACACCATAGCATGTGCAGGAAGCCAGGAGGCACCCAACTCCATGTGAGTGAAGTGATTGCTAAGTCTTACCGGAAAGCTTCTCCCTTGCCTGCATCCCCATCCCATTAAGAAACGACAGAAAATTAACCAGTAGAGACCAAAATACTTATTCCTGTTAAGAACAAAAAACAAAATGGGTACTAGCACCCTCTCAGAATATGGCCTGTGTCCCTGTCCAGGCCTGTCAATAAATATGGCTTGCAAAGTTCAGGATCCAATCCAGACTGGGTCGTATACATGGTGTCTCCAGGTTCCAGTAAATGCTCCAGTCAGCATTCCATGACCAATGTTTCGTTTACCCAACATCACCCAATGAGGGACTAGGGAAGAGGGAGGCAGGCCTGATTTGCAGGTTACAATCAGCTATCAAAATGATTTCCGTGGTACTCAAAGTCCGGAGTTCTCAGACAAAGCTTCAAAGAACAAAATGATGAAAAGAGTCGAGATGGGAAAAGTGCCAGCTCCCTCTTACAGCCAGAAAAATGACCTGACTCAGGAATCTGTGCTATGGGATCAGGAAGCAATTTAGGAAGCCTCCTTGTCCTGTCACTAACTAGAGGTTAAAGTGATGGAAGCTAGGGCAGATGCTAGAACAAAAAGTACAACGGTGAATAATTGTCACACCTGGAAAATGAGTTACCACAAAAATAGTGTTCTGCCATGAGAGAGCTTCTGCTGACATGATCACAGGTATCATCAAAGCATTGCATACTGAATAATTTTAAACTCACCTAGCTTTTTAATTTCATGTGTCCGCTCGTCTCTTGTCAGTGGGACATAATTCATCTTCCGGCCACTTTCCCCGTAGCCCAGAAGAAAACCCCGTGATCTTCGTGGACTCTTGGCTCCAGACAGGCGTGGTGCCTTCCATGCAACGGACAGCCTGTCGTCTGAGGACCGGACACGCACACGCAAGGGCTTGTTGGGCACTTCCTTTTCTTAAAGAGGACATGACATAGAAACCATTAAACAGCACACCACTTGAAGTTTTCACGATGGATGTGGTTTCTGCAAACATGGACTGTTGGCAACTAATTCTAGTAAGATCATTTTTCCCTAAGTTATCAGCACTCTTTCCACATATTCTTCCCCATTTCATACCTAAAGGCCTGGAGAACTTAAAATGAAAACATACCATGTGGTGAGGCTGCCAGCCAGAAGTCTTAGATGCTTCACAATACCCCTTTTCATCAATTTCCTCTTGCCCAAACTATATATTCTCTGCCGAGAGCTTCAGGTCCATGTAAAAATGCGGTAGAAATCATTGTGTGCTATTTATAACTGTCCTCCAAGGGCTTTTTCACAGTAGTATTGGAAAGACCGCCTCTCCTTGCCTTCATGATGGACCGCTAAGAGCTAGGTACTAACTAATTTCTGTGTTGGGTCTTAATTTCTCTCCCATGTGTAAATCCTGCCCCTCCAGGCAAACCCTGACTACATCACACAATCGCCACTATCCTCAGTGTCTGCTGTTTTTTTCTTGCTAAATTAACCAGTTCTGAGAAATGTGTTTGATGAGCTGACTAATCTCAAGACAAGCTCTCATTGCTAGCTTTCTCCAAGCAGAGTGTTCTGGTAGCCACCACTTAGCACTTCATGTTTTGCATTTGTAACAGCTGATATGCTTGGGAGTAATTGTTACGGCTTATATCACCACCACATTGCCTGTGTCTAACAGTGGACTACATTCTAGCCGTCATATAAGGATGTCACTAGATAAACGAGAATCTCTCAATTGTGTAAGTCAGTTACTTCCCAAGTATTCTTCCTTTACTATCTACATGAACCCCATCATCAATTTTTTTTTTTTTTGGTGGCACCAGGGTTTGAACTTAGGGCCTCAAGCTTGCTAGGCAAGTGCTCTTACCACTTGAGCCACTCCACCAGTCCCCCTATTATTAATTCTTACTAATTTTATAGGGCTAGAAAATTTCCAACTAAGCTAACTGGTACATAAAAACAAAAACTAAGGTCATGAGCCATTAGTGTGAGCCACAGTAACACATAAATAACTATTAGACACTTATACTGAAATGGCAGAAACCTAGTTCTAGTGTCATGAATCTAACCAAAGGAATATCCTTTTGTGGATCAGCAGGAGTTCCCTGGTGAGTCACTGGGCACCCCATTCCTAAATGCTATGAATAACTTTCAACAGACTTTTTCCCTAAGATGCAAAATAGTATTTATTTGAAGGTTTTTGTTTTAATGCAATAGAATAGTCCAGAGAAATGAAACGCACACAGGGGTCTTAGGTGAGTCTAGCAAACAAATTGCTACACAGAGATAGCATGCTCTGCCTGAAGTCCTCTCCAGCCAAGGCACTTGGAGAGAATTCAGTGTTCCCAAGGCCATTCTGTCACCACTGGGTCTTGGGACAACTGAGGGTCTCTGCTCAGGACAGATTCTGACTTGGCCACCCCTGGTACTCTTCAGTAAAATGCTGAAAAACCAGTGATGTACCAGAGATGGAACCAATGAGATGCAAGGAGTGGAGTTCCAAGGACAAGGAGCTCATTCATAGATGGCTGAGGTGCCCATCCCAGGGCTCTGTCCTGATGCACGCCAATTTCACCGAACAGCAGCCACATAGCCTAGTGGTAGAGACAGTAGCTATCCCATCATACAGCATAGCTTCTACCACCCACGGGCACCTGCCTGTGTCTAACCACTCCACACTGGGACTCCAGAATGGGGCCAGGCCCACTGAACAGCTGCAGAAAACAGGGCCAAGCCACCTGTAACAACCCAATCCATCGCCCCTGATAGAACTTTCCTGTTTGAAACAATTCTCACACCATTCATGCTAGTTGTCTTTACAACAGCCCCAAGATAAGGAGGAAATACATCCTCAGCACCATGGGAAAACTGAGGCTCCCAGAGGTGAAGCAGATGACTCAAGGTCACAGCTATTTAGTGCCAAGCAGGAGCCTGAATGCAACCATTTTGACTCCAAGCATGTCCCCTCTTACTGGTATCCTTTCTGTTTAAGGTCCCCGTCACCTCATGCCAACTCTAACCAGCTACCCAGCCCCTTCTCACAAACTTAAAATAAGAGTCTGGGGCTGGTCAGGCTCCCCTCAGAATGTGAACACACTGCTCTGTCCAGCAGGCCTTAAGCATAATGAGTCAGAAGTATCATCAACAGGCAGCAAATATACAGAACAGGGATTGTTGCCAAAGGCTATTTCCCGTGATTCATGGAGGTCACTGTCTGCCAGGGTGAAGCCCACAGAAGGCAGTGAGAATGCCACCCCTCTAAACACAGTCATCTCTCTTTCAAATCTTTGGGCTTAGAAGAGCCAACCACACTTTTTCAAGTATTTTGAAAGTTTCCTTTCTTAATATTCTGAGTTATATATGCCATCAAGCATCTTTTATAGACCATCTTTTATGATCCTTTCGTAAATTGATATGCACATGAAAAAAACTCCCCATATGGTTCAAATTCATTTGTGATTAAATTATTAAAGTGTTTCTCTAAGCTGTGTGTGATAACTTCACCAAAGCCTTCTGAAATTTCCTAATAAATTTCTGTAGGCCTTTTATCTTGAAAACAGGAAGTCACAACTGCCAAGAGCAGTCAAGTTCTCATCCACCAGCACCGCGTGCATTGCAACCTTGGCAGAACACACTGCCTTGATGACTCTTGGTGCAACAGAACCAGGTAAGTCATACTCAGAACTGGTTGGTAACAGAAGACCTGCAAAAATGATTACATACCCATCCACATGGCAGGGCAGCAGATAAAACAAGCACCACCTGATTGAGGTACATCAGAAAGCCAGGCATGACTAGACTGTTTCTCCTGATTCACATCACCAGCATCAAAAATCAGCAAATATTGTGAATTTGTAAGACATCAAAATCTGTTCTTTCAACCAAGAAAAAAATCCAAAATTCAACATATTTGCCCACTTACAATTCTATGCTAGTTAAATGTGGTTGTTTTTAAGTTGGGCATACCCAAGCTCTAAATTTAGACCCCGAATTTGACCTATTACTTTCTGGTGAATTTTAGAATTCTCCCAGAACCTCAGTTTCTTCTGTACAATGGCGTATAGCATATCAGGGTCTGGAATATAACCCATGTAAAACATTCAGTATCATACTAGCTTATATTGAACATACTAGTTGTGTTTGTGGTAGCTACAGTTTGGATCTTAAGTGTCTCCCAAGTGTCCATGTGGCAAAGGTTTGATCCCCAGCATGGTGTTATTGGGAGGTGTTGGAACCTTTAAGAGGTGGGGCATAGGGTGATCTTTAGGTCATTGGGTGCTCTCCCTTGAAGGGGATTGTAGAACCTCAGTCTTCATTTTTCTCTCCTTTGCATTCTAACCTTGAGGTGAGTAGTTTTGTTCTATCATACATTCTCTCTATGATGTACTTCCTTGCCACAGATCCAAAGCAAAAGAACCAACCCATCATGGATTAGAACCTCCAAAACTGTGAGCCATAATAAACAAATCCTGGTATTTGTTACAGTGACAGAAAGCTGACTAACATAGTGGTCACAAAAGAAATGAAATCCCTCTTCCATAGCTCCACGACCTGAATGGGCAGCCCTTTGGAATATGAGTGTGTCACAGAGCATTACCTCAATACCTTGTATACAGACCACTGAAAACTAGATAAAATGATTTATTGCCACAAATCCTTCAGCTTGTAAATATTTTCAAATATGAAGTTTTCTATATCCAAATGACTTTTTTGGCACCATGAACTAAAAGCATTACTCATTGTCTCCATTAGCATCTAACAGGATCAGTTACTCTATGTCCCTACTCATCACTGACATACAAGAAGGTCTGACTAAGCTTTCTACTGGCCTCTTTCTCTTGGCCCAGGGTTTGGCTGGCAAGATATTTTTAGTCTCCAGCAGACTGTTAGATATTACTCAGTCTGTAGCATTGAAGAGTCTATTAGATTGTCCCACCGACTGCTGTATTAACTGCAAATTTCACAGAGATGGCTCAAACCCCATCACCATCAGCCTTTAATATGATAGCGGACACTGAGCTACATTCAAGGAGGGAGCCAATCACTTAACCACAGTCAAGATGCTCAAAGGTTAGTGTGCATCAGAATCACCTAGAGTCTGTGAAAACACACGCTCGCCCCCACCTCTGGCAATACAGGTGAGATTTCAGGCTTTCTGAGCATGTCTGATGAACAAGCATGACAAAGAGAGAAAGCATGAAAAAAAAAAGAAGAAATTGGGAGTGGGAAAGGGAAGGGAATGTCCACTAGAAAGCAGTGAGCGTCAACTGTCATAACCAAAATCAAGACAGGACATTTGCCTGATTGTCCACACTCTGAGTCTCAATTCCCTGACCCCGGGCCCAGGCCCACGGCTGGCTGACATCTCCAATGAGAGGATAATTACAGAAGATGCCTCACCAGGCTGTATCTAACATGACCTTGTTCTTCCTGGGCAAATTCTGACACATACCCTTCCTGAACATCTTTGAACGGGCTCACCAAATTCTTCGACACACTCCGTATTCACAATACTGTCATGTGTCACTTAACAGGCACACACTCTGAGAACTGCATCATCAAGCAGTTTCATCATGCAACATCATAAGTATGTACTTGATAAACTAAGAGGGCTATAATATCACGAGGCAATATAATTTTATGGGACTATGGCCATATTAAAGCCAATTTTTATACAGCAGATGGCTATATATACTGTAAAAATCTTTGATGTGACATTTTCTTCTCCGATAAATGACCTCAATACTTTTAACTATTTACTAAATGAGTTTTTGGTAATACTTAAATAAGCCCAGCTACTTAACAAAAATAAGGAAAAAAGAGAATCTTATTTTGGAGTCTCATTTATTTTGGAGTAAATCTGTCAGAATTTACTGTATAAGGCACCTGATATATACCCTCCCATAACCCAATAAGCACCCATTTACAGACAAAAATA